TTCCTCGGAGAAAAGCCCCTGGAAGACTCCCACCTGCTCGGGTCAGTGAGTGACACCCATCAGCCCAACCAACACACATTCCTCTTCCAGAGTCGCCATGAAGAACTGATTCGTGTTTTTCGTTATTGCTTTGGATAAGGCTGTACAGAACCTCGCCTGGCAGTGAGTTCACTCCAATCCCCATCTCTGTTACACTGCTGGGAATGCATGTGTGAGCCACTACACCTGAACTCGCTTTCCCCGCCCAGATGGCTTTAATTTAGGCACTGGGGGTTGAACCTGTGGCCTGGCATATTCTAGGCAAGCACAGGACAAGTGAACTAGACCCATCTCTTTATAAACGTCTCAGCAGTTCTACGGTCTGATCCAGCTGGCCTTGTCTGTGCTCTCGGGGCAGAGGACCTAGCTTGGACGGAGCTCTGAAAGTGGAGTTCCTATGCAGGGTGTGCCTGGGTGTGACAAGTGGAAGGCCTTTTCTTAGGGGAGCTGTGTGTGCACAGCACAGCCCAGGTGACCTTGTCATAGAGCTGTCTCATCTCAACAGAACAGGAGAGGATTAAGACCCAAGTCATAAAGTGGGGGGCAGGAAAAGTCCAGCAAGCACCAGGTGGGGCCCTGGGCTGCTCAGGGTAGGGGCCTCAGCAAATAGAATGTTAAACCAGCGCCCCTCCTCACTATGTTAGCGTTAAACCCCACAGTGTGCAAAGTTTGGCCCGAGGCCTCTGGATGACCCCAATCTAATTCCCACTCTCTCAGGGGCACAAAGATAAGCGGCCCCCTTGAAGCAAGCAGCCCCCAGGAAGCCCTGTGTAGGAGCTAGGCTGGGAAAGATGCAGGGTGTGAAGGGGTGGGAGCGGTAGATAAGAGTTTCTGGGCCAGAGAAGACAGCACCTGTGCTTGGCAACCTACTGAAGGGACTAGGTCTCCAATGCAAGTTAGGGCATGGTGATCAGGGCAAAACCCAGACCTAACGAGCTGCTTCTGGACAAAGGAAGCCATCACCTGAGCCTAGGTACAGGAAGAGTGAGGTTGCCCCTAGGCCACCTGTGCACCCTCCAGAACAGGGAGCACTGTTCTCCATCCGCAGCTGCATGCTTCCTTCCCTTCTACCTGCTGTTCCTTGGGCCTCTGTCCCCTCTTAGGAGCAGGGGTCTAGGTTTCCATGGTAGGCTGGGGTGGGGGCGGTAAAGGATGAATGCTTAGGCAATGATAGCAGGACCCACCACAACTGGCAGCCAAGAGGAAAGGAAGGGCAGAAAGTGGAGGATCCCATCAGATTTTATGGCCATTATCTGTGCCTGGCTCATTCATATCTCTGGGCCCAGAACTGTTCCTGTTACCTGTGGCTTGTTACTCACTGTTTGACTTCGTTCACAGTAGCCCAAGGTGTATCACTCCTTCCAGGCACCCAAACACCAATGAGTCGCAGAGAGGTAACACTAGAAAGGCAGTGGCCAAAGAGGGGGGTTCTCTCCTAGACACAGCTCCAGAGACTGCGTGGTAGTAGGAAGTCTCATTGTCCCCAGTGCAAACTGGGAGAAGGGCCTGTTCTCAGGAGGTGACAGTGGGAAACAAAGGACTGAGTCCTATGGGATTCTTGGGCTGGGGGGGTTTTGAACTACAGTGAGGCCTCTTATTGGCTTCAGACACAGGACACAAACTGATTCTTTACTGACCTTGCTCATCGGGGTTTGGTGCCTGGTATGCGATGACACATTTTTCACCAGTGACTGATGATGTCTTTGGGCCTATGTGATAAGCCTGGTGTCTACAGGTGGCCTTTAGGCCCAGTGAGGGAGATGCCCCACCAGTTACAAGTCAGGGGCTGAATCTAAAGTTCTGCTTCTCACAGGGAAACCATTGCACCAAACAGAAGATCGGGGCTATAGGCACCCATGATACTTATGGATTTGGATGGGATATATCAGCCTACTCTCACTTTCACAACACTATTGATCCAACTGATAGTGTGGCCATGGTTATAAGCTATCATTGGGACAGGGTTCTGTTACCTGGTTAAGGACTCTCACTGAGCTAGGGTTAGGTGGTGACTGATTATGTTTAATTAAGCCATTTCTCCAGGCCCTCTGTTTATTGATTAAAAAACAAGAGAGAAAATCAGTTTACCAGGCTGAAGAGATGGCTCTGCAGTTAAGAATATGGCTGCTCTTGCAAAGAAGCTGTATTTGGTGTCTTATCCACAAAGGGTGGTTCACAACCACCTGTAATGCTAGCACCCCCTTCTGGCCTCTGTGAGCAGCTACACTCAAGTGTATGTACACAGACTCATACACAGACACACATAACTAAAAATAAATCTGAGAGAGAGAGAGAGAGAGAGAGAGAGAGAGAGAGAGAGAGAGAGAAATGCAGTATAGGCGTCACTGGTTCCAGCACACAGTACCCTCTTCCAGTCCCCAGGCAAGAAATGGGATTTCTGAAGTTCCCCCTCACACATCTTCCTCTACAACAGACAACAGACTCTGGCCCTTTTCTGCCTGACTAAAAATGTATTTCCCTGCATGGGTGCAATTGGTTTGCTTCTCATAAAAGCTCAGGGTGGGTGCTGGCAGTATAACCTCCAGGTCGAGGAGCACCACCATCACCTGGGACTCCACAGAACTGCAAAGCTCTTGCTCCAGCCCCGAGCAACTGGCTTAGAAACTGGCGCCATCAACAAGGCTTCTAGCAGACCCAGATGCTGCTCAGTTGGAGAACTACTAGGGTAGAGGATGGCCTAAGAACCTTGGCTGGGGGTTCTCTATTCCTGAGAGCCTGTGAGGGTGTGAGTCGTTTGCCACTGCAGAGGTCTTCCAGAGACAGGTAAGCCACCCACCTCCCACACTCCGGCTGTAACCAAACACCTGACCCCTGCTGAAGAGTGCATCAGCTGTGGTCAGGCTTGGAGCCCATCAACCAGCTCCTCGTGAGCCCTTCTCTTCCAGACACAGCAGCAGGGATTCAGATGACTCGGCATTGCCATGGCAACTGCTCCTCTCTAAAGCTGGTGGGCACCTGCAGCAGGCAGTGCAGGGAAGGAGGCTACCAGTAGATAAGGAACAGCAGGTGAGAACAGAAGTTCAGGACAGCTGTGGTCATGCACCAGAGCTAGAAGGGCGGTTGCTTCCTCAAGACCCGGGACGGCTAGATTGGTGACACAGGCTGGTGGCACACATCTGGAATCTCACCATTCAAGATGTAGAGGTGGGAAGATTACAAGTTCCAGGTCAGTTAGAGTCTCAATCTTATCCTCAACATACACAAAAGAAGGCCCAGGGAGCATCTGGGTCTCCCATGCCACCTAAAGCAGCAATCCAGGCCAGCGTACTGCAGAGCGGCCTGACTCCCCAGGCTAGAGCATCTGCCTAAATTAAATTAAGTGGCTATGGAAAATTAACAAGGAAGTTCCCACCATAGAATGGTTTCCTATGTTCCAGGTTAGAGAGACAAGGACATAGTATAGAATTCTGTCTGAAAGCAGATACCAAGAAATCAGGGGCCTTAGCTAATAATGGGTTCCTAGCTCTAAAAGAAATCAAGAATTGGTATAACAAAGGTAGAGATCATGTCCCAGATGCTGGTATCAGAGGCACGAATGCAGCCCCGTTCTTGGCCCTCGACCCTTGCCTTGCCCAGGAGTGGCCAGCTTCTCCTGTAGGGAGGTGAGCATCACTCCTCCCAGACCAGCAGAGAGAAGTTTGGTTCTGCAGCCCTGGTACTTTGCATTGATCCTGTCTCTTGCTGCCTTGGGGGAAACATGAAGTTCGTGTGGAGTCAGGAGGTGGGAGTCTGTCCTGTCCCCAGGCACAGAGTGTGAAGAATGAGGCTGGGGAAAGTACAGGCACCCCATGGTGTTGTCTGGGAGGCTGTCACTCCCTTGGTCAATTTCATCATTGGGGTGTGCAGTGTGTCCCCAGAACTTTCTACACAGGGATTTTCATCTTTGCCCCCCGGCATTTCATAAGCCCGGATCCCCTTTCCCTGAGTGTGGCAGCCTCTCTGTGCTATTATCTGTGCTCAAGCCCCTGCTGGCCCTCCAGGTCCTTAGCTCTGCCTACTAATCAACCATATGTGTGTCAGGGAGCCAAGTGTTTTTGTAACAGCCGAGCAGAAGCCAGCTCCCAACTCCTATTTTTCCTTTTGCCCTCACAGTGGCAGTAACCCATGGTGCACCTGCCTGTCACACATAGTATGTAAGGACACAGAGGACCTTGACTCAGCAAGTTCGTATCCCTTCTCCCACTTCAGCCTTGAGTTACCCCTGCTAGAAAGGGGGGTCAGGCAGAGAGACAGACGGGGACGGAATGCAACAGCATCCACCCTTTGTTCTCCCAACTGCTTCTTGAGGAGATTCTCATGGGACTCCATCCATGTGTGGACACAGGTTCAGGCCATGGCTCTGCGTGCACATCAAAATTTGGGGAGGGGTCTATAGAGGTGGGGAGGGGATGAAGCAATGCCAGCTGTGGGCCTTCTCACTTCATTCCAGTCACTGCCCTTTATAAATATTTATAGTAGCTCTTCTACTAAAAATAACATCCTGGAGCTCAAGAAGCAGAAAAAAAAAATCCTATGTGAATTGAACTTAGTGATCACATGTGCCACAGGACCCCAGGGGAGAGAATGTGTGAGCAGCATCTGGGCAGTGCGCCCCCTGGCTGCCAGCCCCAGCTTGGCACTTACACACTGCTGCCTCCCTGTTGACTGGGCCACAAAGTTCTCAGCCTTCCTCCTGGCTGTAGAGCAATAGTACTGCACAGCACTGTGCAGGTGGAAGTTCAGAGAGGAAGGGGGTGGGGGAAGGACACTATTTTTAGCACTGAAGCCAGAGTGTGAATGTCTGTAGAACAAGCAAGGCCTGCAGCTTTCTTTGCATAGGAGACCTGTTGGTTTTTGAAGGTCAGAGGTAGGTAAGAAACTTGTGTGCCCACACCAGGGAGCATACCCTGTGCGGGCCAGATGCCAGGAGGAACCCCATTAGGCCAGGAACACACACGGGCTCAGGCTCGGTGCTTTTTCTTTTCTTTTCCACCTCCTGGTAAATTCCTGATGCAGAGATGACACCATGCCCTGAGGGAGGAATGCAGATGCTAGTGCATGCAGGGCTCACAAGGAGGCCCACCAGCCGGGGCCTCAGGCAGTCCCTCCCCACTTCCCATAGGCTTGGCTCCTCTCTCTGGTGGTGGAGTGAGTCTGGCAGCCTGCAAGCCTGGTCCAGGTGTGCAGCAGAAAGACGGAGAGGAATGTGCCTCTGGGGGAAGACCTTCCCTTGTCTTGTCGGTGCCAGCTTGCTCCTCGGCCTTTGTGCCTATACAAGACAGACTGTTAGTCACAAGCACACTGGGGGCTCAGGGCAAAGCTACCAACAGCTGTGAAGCGGCAGATCTGCAGGGAGAGTGGAGGTTGGGGCTCTCAGTTCTTCTCTTTTTGGTGGACAGGGTTGGGTAGGGTGAGGATGCGTGTCTTCTGAGGTCACTGCTTATGTCACAGGGGTAGGAAGGGCTCCCATTGAATAAAAAAACTGGGTGACAATGGCGGATTTGGAAGGGGAGGAAGTGTGGTAGAGGAGATGGGCAGAGAATGCAGAGGAAAGGGAGGAAGCCTTCGGCCTCAGAGAGCGGGCCACTGTACGCGGGACTTTTCATCTAACTCTACTGCGGCTTCTCATAACTCCTGGCGTTGGTCAGGAGGTGAGGCAGCAACACCATGTGATCCCAGTCTTGGCACCCAGTCCTCGAGTGTGGGCTTTGGCTCCTTCATGTGAACCGATGGAGCTGACTGGACAGTGCTCACATATCCTCTGAGTCAGTTCCTGACCTCACCAGCAGTGTGTGGCAGTCTGGGCTTGCCACAGGAAGGGCCTGATCTGCATACACTGCAGTATGCTGGTGTTGCCCACCTGCAGCCAGCTTTGCAGACCAAGTGTGCAGTTGACCTTGCAAGAAGGGTGGGGCCCAGTTCAGCCCTGGAGGTGGCTCTAAGATGACATTCTTAGAAGGTTATCTGAGACAGTTCCTTTTTTGGCTGGTGATGCCATGGCCCTGGGTTTTCTACCCTGAAGATTTGCAACTGAAAAAGATGCTCAATTCTTAAAAATAAGAAGTGGAGACCAGGGGTGGTGGCACACCCCTTCAGTCCCAGCACTTGGGAAGCAGGAACAGTCAAGCCTACACAATGAGACAGTCTTGGAGCACCAATAAACAAACAAAAAAGAAAAGAAAGCAAATTCAGAAGTTGCATCAAAACTACAGATAAAAAAAAATGTGACAGGTTCATTCCTTTCATTCCTTAAGACCAGAAGAGTGTCTGTCTGTCCTTTGACTCACGGCTCTCTGCAGTTCATGTGACTGGGTAGGGACCACACAAGCAGGCAGTGTTGAGTGAAAGGGTCCCAGGGGAATTCTGGCTGTGGGGAGACAGTGGCTACAGAGGACAGGACTACAGAAGCAGAGGAAGCCCAGGAGGGTGGCTACTCTCAACTGCTACTCTGCCACCTGCTTCAGTCAGTGCTATTGGTGACACCAGGCCACAGACACACAATTTAAGTTAAGCCACTGCCTGGAAACCTAGTAAACAGGTCCAGTGGAGACAGCTGTGCGGGAGCAGAGGAAAAGGCAGAATTGGCTCTTTCGAGAAAATCCTAACTGTAAGGCTTGCTCTGGCTTGGGACCTGAGACGGAAGAAGGAAAAGAGGAAGATGAGGGCTCACTACTCACCTGGGCATCCTGTGTCCGGGCTGCTCCTTGGCTAACCTGTGGCAGCATAGGCAGAAAAAATACTGAGGTTACACTCCGGCTCTTCTCAGGCCCCTGGACTTCTCTAAGGGGGCTTCCCTGACCCACCCGGCCCAGGGGCTAGCCTTAAATCTCCCTTTCTGTTGAGCTTTCCTGCAAGGGATAATGAGGTAGGGGCAGTTACTCACAACCCACTACTGACATGGGAATGTTATGAAGGAAAATCAAACCAACTCTAAGAAGAGGCTATGAGGGGCGGGGGAGGGGGAGAGACCAGAGCCTGCACTCTACAAAGTGGAAACAGTTTTGACTGGAACATTGTTTCTCTATGTTCTTGAACAACTTTGCTAGCCAGCTCCTCCTTGGACATTCTGAGCCCACGTGTGTCCTCAGAGAGGGTTACTGCTGTCTAGATATGCATCCGTGCTTCAGTGTATAAACTAGATCCCTAGGGGACATTCTGAAGGACACAGGAGCTCCGGAGTGGCTCAGATGAATGTGGGGTACTGGGGCAAAAAAGGAGGCGGCAGTCTAGGCCTCATCGTGTGGTCTTGTTTTACACGCAGGATAAAGGGGTGCTCAGAGGGAAGGGTACCACAGAGTAGCAGCATCCTTCTCTGGGATTCAGACAGCCAGGTTATGGCAGAGGTGAGAGCTAGGAGTGACTATGGCTGGGAAGCCTGCTTTGGTCAGAGTTCTTCAAAAGAGGCCATGTGCTGTTCATGTGTGCTGAAGACACCATGTGTGCTGAGCTGGGAGCTGACAGAGCTGTGTTTCTCAAGTGAGCCTGACTTCACCCCAAGGAAGAGAAATCTTCCTCTGTAAAATTGATAGTTATTGATTCTGAATGTCTCCACATTTCGGTATCTGGAAGGACTCATACAACGTTTAGAGGCAAGCAAAAACAAAACTTTCCTCATCTTGCACCCCGACTCTTTACCCCTTGCTCTTAGAGACGGCACCTGAGAGTCATAGACACTCAGGCATTCTCACAGTCTCCATACAGACATACAGACCCCGGGATGTGCACCTAGAGGGATCAAGAGATACTAAGAGCTAAGAGCAAGCATCCAGTCAGTCAGAAAGGTGGTCAGCCAGTGACAGAGAGGGTCCTGAGGTTGGGCTAACAGAAACCACTCCAGTTCCTACGGGGGTGGAGTCCACGGCTAAGGCAAGAGTGGAGCAGCAAAGCCGGGCTCTAGGCTTGCTTTGGGGGGCGGAGGGAAGCTGAGGAGCGACCTGGAGGCCCTCCTGGAGCAGTGTGCCACGGGAAGGGAGGGCCAAGGCGGCAACTGCTACACCTTTAGTCAAAACATTTCCACAGCAATGCTGGAGTTTGATTGGGGTACAGACATGTGTTTGGGGTGGGCGGGTGTTTACATGAGAGGCACATCTTGGTTTCTCTTGCCTCATGGCCTTCTTATCTGGACCTGGACCTCCGAATGGCTGTTTCTCCTCTGACAGCCTGAGGTGTGTGGCCAGGACAGCAATTCCCACAAACTCATGCCCAGTGGCCTATTTCTCCCAGGCCTCACTTTGGCTTCTAATGGTTTCTGTACTTACACAATGTTTTCTCCCGTCTCCTAGGCAATGTCAGTGCCCTTGCTGACAAACTCCTTGCCCCTGAGCCTGCAAACGCTCTCTCTTATCCGTACCATCCCAGGGGCTAAATGGCACCACAGAGCCACTGTCCTGAGAGGGTTCCCACCTGTCCCCCCTTGACTGCCTTACACCTTGCACTGGGGCTTCCCCACTTTGCTTGGTCTAATTGTTCTGCTTGGACTAAAGCACTGGCTTGGAGTTGGAAACTCCTGGAGTGAGTCCAGGTCCTGCCATTTATTAACCTGCCCAGTTAATGAGCCTCGAGAGCCTTGTCTAGAATTCTTCCCCCCTGGGGCTGTGTGACAGACCTACCTACAGGTCTAGCAGGTAGCCAGGAGGCAGCATGGGTCTCTCTCCTCACTTCCTGAGGTTAATAGACCACTCCTCCTCACATAACACTATCATGTTGCCCTGATCCTTTCCTTAGGTTCATGCACTGTCATTACTAGATGGCAGGCACTGTTCCTGAATAGTGGAACTACTGGGAATACATCACCAACAACAAAGGCCAAAATCTCTGCCTTAGGGAGTTTACGTTCTGGAGGAATCCAGGAACAACATATTAACATATGATAGAGAGAACTGGAGACTCTCAAATGCCTCAAGAGGATTTTGTTATCTGCTTAATAAATAAAACTGAAAGATGATAAGAGGGGCTGGAGAGATGGCTCAGTGGTTAAGAGCGCTGCTTGCTCTTCCAAAGGTCCTGAGTTCAATTCCCAGCAACCACATGGTGGCTCACAACCATCTGTAATGAGATCTGGTGCCCTCTTCTGGCCTGCAGGCATACATGCAGAATACTAAGAATACTGTATACATAATTAATAAATAAATCTTTAAAAAAAAAAGAAAGATGATAAGAACATAAAGCTTGGTACATTGAGAAACTGTCTCAAAAAAAAACCCAAAAAACCAAAAAAAAAAAGATGTTTGGGGTCAGAAAGCCCACTTCAAGCCCACTTATTCCCACCCAGAGGCTGTATGAACAGACTCCCCAAGAATATATTTTCCTATTACTAAAATGGGGGTATTATTATTTGCATATTTTAATGTAAAGGATCACATGAGATTTTACATGAAATCATTTAGCACAGATCTCTTCCCACATAACAAGTACACAAATAGTTTCTACACATAGAGTCTAAGGAGGCATTATTGTCCTTTACCAACATCTTTCTTTCTCGCTTTATTCTTCCAGGAAGCCATCTATTCCAACCTACAAGTCTTTTCCTTTTCAGAATAGTACTATTTGCTATACATTTAATGGTTTGGTGTGTTTTGTTTTGTGACAAGGTTTCTCTGGGTAGCTCTGGTTCTCCTGGAACTTGCTCCATAGACCAGGCTGGCCTCAAAATCATAGATCTGCCTGCTTCTGCCTCCTGCGTGCTGGGATTAAAGGTGAGTGCCAACACACCCAGCTTTAATGGTGTTTCCTTTTGACACAAGGCTTCATGTAACCCACACTGGCCTCACACCCACTCTGCAGCAGAGAATGAGCCTGAATTTCAGATGCTCCTGCCTCCACCTGCCAAGCACTGGGATTCTGGGGCATGCCACTGCTCCTGTGGTGTATGTGGTGTGCCGGGCGAGCAACCCCCAGCCGACATTTAATACTTTCTGATCCACCTCTTCTGCTGCTGTCTTCTCCCACACTTCCTCTGCATGCCTCAGTTGTGCTTCTCCAACGAGACCATCAACCCTGTGAAGAAGGGCGAGGTTCTGTGACTTGTTTGCATCCCAGAGTGTGAGTATCGCCCGGTGTTACCACCTGTGGGCACACCAGGCTGGAGGCAGAACAGGCAAGAGGAACTGTGGGGGCTGCAGACTCGGGGAGGCGGGAACAAAGGTAAAGGAAATTAGCATCCATTGTTCTGGAGCTTGGGCTCCCATTCAGACCAGGGGTCCTGTCTTTCTCATCCTGAACCTCCTCTTCTTTCTCTGTACCTTCCTCTACCATGGAAACAACGACTGTTTGGTCTAGTACTAGTGTGGGAGGCTGGGGGCCCGAGGCAGAGACCTAATGCAGCAAGCAGCCTCCAGGGTGTATACATGTCCCCTGACCATGCCCACCAGCTCCACACCCTGGCACTGTTTGATTGGAACCCTGCACATCCATGAAGCAGAGGGCATGATGTTAACGGCTGTTGTATCTGATGCATGTTAAAGGGATTGGGTAGAATCTCCTAGAAAAGGAGAAAACTTGGGAGTTACCACATTATCTACCACTAAACACTCTAAAGGAGGCCTAGAGAGGAAGTCTGGACTTAGGGCGGCTTTAGGCGGGAAACAACCCATGATAGAAAGGAAGATTTCAGTTCCCTAATAAGGAAGAAATCTCCAGTGATTAGACCTGGCTATAAATGAGCTCCCTGGAAATATTCAAACTGGAGGCTTTTAAATTGACAGCAAGCTCAATGAAATATCTTTAAGACCCTTTTGAACTCTAGGAGTCCATTACTTGAAAGTATTTTTGGAAGATGGTGAAGACAAACTACAGATGTGTGTCCTATGCAGGCTGTAGGAAGTGTATGAAAAGCCGACCTGGATACCCACTCCCAGCCTAATAAAGGCCCCTGAAGCCACTTCAAGGGAGTCACCATGCGTCTCCCACCAACTGAGGAACAGGGTTTATCTCTGTATTTAACAAGGGTGCTGGGTCATGTGTGCATTTGTCTGTGTCAGATATAGGCGTCTGTACTTGGGAAAAGGAACCACAGAGACTACAGACTGCCCTGTAGTCTGTCCTGGGTCAGCTCAGAGCCCTGGCTCCATGTTTCTCTACACCCAAGCTCTAGATCTAGCTTTGCCTCTGCATGTTGCGTGATTGCAAGCAAGTTATTTTTCTAAAAGATCCCACATTTCTAAAACAAGGAGGTTCCACAACAGGATCACTAATATACCTAATACACCTTCTAAATGACACAATTTTATTAAAATCAGCTTTTCATATTGACTGATGTTCTTGCCCCTTTCCCCCACCATATGGCCTAGGTGGGCTTTGAATTCATAAGCCTCTCAAGTATTGGGGATGGCAGGCATGCACTGCCATGCCTGATCAGTTCCTGTCAATCAAGTTACATTCCCATTCTTGAGTACTGAGCTTGTGAGTGGCTCATTTTGCATAAACTCTAACTATACTTTCTCCGCATGTCCTAAAAATCCCTAAGAAATTTTCTCTGAAACACCAAGTGAAACCTATCAGGGAGCTATATTCGAGAAAGGGCTTCCTAATCAGCTGTGAGGTCATCCTGAGGTCACCCATCCCCAGCTCTGTGCAGGTACAGAAGGCTGGGCTTCAGTGTGGGCATGAGAAACAGGATGAGAGAGGGTGAGGGCATCATATTGCCTGAGGCAGAATGGGTGACGGACCTGAGCTGGGAAAGCCAATCAGGCCACAGGTGTAATCTCTTCTGAAGGAAAACAGAAGGACTTGAGGGCTGAGGTGTGGAAAAAATGACAGCCCAAAAGGAGATGCTTTCTCCTGCTGAAAACACCCTGGGCGTGCCTTCCACAGGACTGTCTGAATGTCCCCTGGAAACACTGCTCTGGGTTTCTGCTTGACAGCCCTGCTAGAGGCCACTGCAGAGTTCTTACAAGCACTGCCTTGGGTAAGAAAGGACAGAGACGGGCCTTCAGTGTGAGTGCTGCAGCACTGGGGACCTGCAGCTCTCGGGGGAACGCCAAGGCTACAAAGTAACTCCTAAGCACCGAGTGGTTATATCCCTGATGGAGCTATGGGCTACTCGTGGTTTTGTGGGACAACGCAGTGAGGCAGAGGACCCTGGGAAGCCACTGCACTGGCTGAGTCATGGAGAGGAGAGAGAAGTCAAATAGAACCAAAGGTGAAGAACGGAGGGAGCTGCAGCTGGGATCTTCAGGTGAGATCAGAGCCTGGTCACAGACAAAAGGAGAAGACAGGGTTTCTAAACAGAATCAAACAGCAGGAAGCCAGAGGGCGGCTGGAATAGAGACAGGTGGCTTGTGCTGACTGCTGCCACATCCAGGATAGCTTCAGAATGAGGCGGCGGCCCCTAGGGAAAGAGACCCTGTGGACAAAGTGTAGGTGGAGACAGAGAGTGAGGCGGGGAGCTGGCTGCACTGAGGAGCAGATTTGCCTTCAAGCTGGAATTGTGTCTGCTCCTTCAGACTGTTCTTAATATAAACTGTGATCACGTGTGGGAGGGAGGCACTGGGTGAAGATCCTGTGTGCTCCTAGAAGGGAAAACGGAGTGGCAGGAAGGGCTGTGTGCCCGGTGGTAGGAGAGGGCAGGGAGATGTGGGCGCAGGGGAGGTGGAGACTGGTGGGGAGCGCTGGGTTTCACCTGAATGAAGCTCCTTCACCAGGGACGACATGGTGTTGGTGATCGAGTCAGCAGCCACCAGCAGGTCATTGCGGAGGTTTCTCCTTGTACCTGAGGAGTCAGAGCAGATGGCAGTGCAGATGGTGAGCATGGAAGAGGGAGCTGAGAGACGCCCCAGGCAGTGTGGGCCTGGAACCCGGGCGCAGAGGTGATTAGGGAAGGTGGGACTGCCACAGGTCTGCACGCTCCTGGACATCCGCTCCGTCTTCTCCACCGGGGATCAGGGACCCAGCAAGTCCATGCTTCAAAGGCACCACAGTAGAGTTCTGGCTTAGTGTTGCCCCAGAAAGTTCCTCAGTCTCAGGGTGAGGGACTAAGTTCTCTAACACCACTGCCTCCCATTTCCTTGTCCGCATTCCCTCCCCTCCAGACTCCCTTGCTCATTATTTAAGATTGTAGGTCCCTGGTTCCTCGGTCGGCCGCATGGCAAATGCATGCCTACTGATCTTTGGCATGCTTAGGTCCTATGGAAATCACCACTTTTCCTGTTCTTACTTATTCTAAGGACCTTAGGGGACAAATGTGTGAGGAGCAAAGTCCAAAGGGCAAGGCATTTCCTTCAGGCTAGAACTCAGAACCCAGAAGGCCAGTTGTCTTCACACGTGTGCCTGCAGACCTCCCATGGAAGACCAGCCTATCATGGAGAAGGACCCAGCACATAACTTATTTATACTGCAAATCTGATTACTAAGGCCACGCTATCTGATCTTCCAAAGTCAAGAGCACAAAAGGAAAACTGGAAGAATTCTGGCAGGGACCCGGTATGTGACTTAGCCCCGCAGCTCTCCACAGACTTGCCTGGAAACTCACCTTGTGCAAAGGCCTCCTGGACGTCTCCTCCAACTCCACTCAGTGAATCCTGTGGGCCATGGGTAGGGGTGGAGCCGGCGGACGTGGAACGCACGGGCATGGGCATAGGGCGGCCACCTCCATGAGTGGGTGATGTGTGAGGTGACCCTGTGGCTTGAGCCTGGGAGGATGGGAGAGAAAACATGTCATTTTGGGTGTCCAATCTCTCTAACAAAAGAGGAAAGCACTTCCCAGCCAGGACCATGCTTTTTGTTTTTTGTTTTTTTTTGTTTTTTATTTTCTGGATTCTTTTTTTTTGTTTTTTTTTTTTTTTAAAAAAAGAGGGCCAGGACTCAGAAAAGGAAGAGAAAGAAGAGGGAAGAGGGCAGTGCGGGAGTAAAAGCGTTTTAAGAACAGGCTGAGACCTCGCACTTAGGAGGCAGGAGGATGACTTGGAACTCAAAGGGCTGGGTTACACAGAAAGTTCAAAACTACAGGGTGAAAATCAAAACCAAAAGAGGCTGAGAGACGTTGGAAGCATGTGGCAAAAAGAAAGGCTGCATCCAGGAGGATCCAAGAAGGAAAAAAATTAACAAAAAACCCCACAAAGATCCTCGTGTTTGCATGTCAACATTCTGTACCCATCCTCATCTGATCCCACAAGATCCTGTGGGTAGAAACTGCCCATCTTTTAATCTAGCTTTTATAGATGAAAATCAAGATCACGTGTGAGGCTTCTCGAGCGTGTGTGGGAGGAAGCACAGCTTGCCAGGGGCCGTGGCAGAAGAACCCTTCCGCCCCACGGCTGTACAGCAGCCTTCCTTCTTTCACTTGAGATCCCACCCCAGGAGGCTCAGCCCGGAGGCAGGCCTGCACAGGGAGGTCTGTTTGGGTAGCCAAGGACCAGGAGAGAGCGGCCACATGCTCATTAGAGGGGGACCTTCCTCAGGAAAGCCTGGTATAGTTCTGGACTTTCCCCCCAAGCAGATCATTTATTTCTCTCCCCCTCTCTATCTCTTGACAGGGTCTCTTCCATTTAGCTCTGGTTATCTTGGAACTATGAAGCCCAGGCTGGCTTAAAACTCACAGAGATCTGCCTGCCTCTGCCTCCCGAGTTCTGGGATTAAAGTGGTGCGCCACCACTGCCCAGCTATTCATTACTCTTAAAGGCTTATTTTTGACTGGACTCAGACTTGGAAGTAAAAGCTCTCGGTGAGGACAGCCTATAGCTCTTGGCAATCTGTTGCTGGTATTTCTCTTTGGCCTCTTTCATTCTCTTGGTCAAAAGCTTAACATGTTCGGGAGCCTCCTTATTTTGCTGAATATATTGTTTCTTCAGAGCGTTTGTGCTGCAGGATACATGGAGTAACAAGGCACTGAATCTTAGGTGCACTGGTCCTGGGCTTCTTCCCTCCTTTGTTTAAGGGCTTTCTGACAACATTGGCGGACATCATCTCTCTTTAAGTTTTCAGATTCTGCTAGCTCTTTTGGGTCCCAACCACCGAGGCACAGTAGTGTCTGTCAATCCAGGAATATCCTTCTCTCTTAAAAATAACCAAGTTGGGAACGCTCCAAACGGAGGTGCGCTTTCCCTCTCCAGTTCTCCTGGGTCTGGAACAAGAACGCCACTCACTCCGCCGTGGGAAAACCTTATTTGTTGTTCACCCAGGGCATCAGCAGCTACTTCTGCAGCCATGCACTTCTTGCAGAAACATCCAAGTTTGTGTTCACTGTCCACTTCACTGTTTCTGACGGCCAGCAGCTGGGAAAAGAGATGCTCACTTTCATCTTGATAGGGCTGACCCCCTAAGAGGTAGCTTGGAGCAATGGGGTATGACAGTTAAACTACCCCAGAGGGGGTCAGGTCGGTGGATTTTGTGGGAGCAAAACTGGGAAAATAGAAGTGACAGTGAACACAAGTTCCTGTGAATTCCCCCGGGGATCTAGACCAGAAACGCCGCACAGACAGAATATACCCCAGACCGAGCAGCCTGGAGGGACGCACAGTGCCTGCCCTCCTGTGCAGCTGTGTGGGTGCTGAATGGACTATTTTGTTTTCTATTGCTCCTATTTTCTAGGTTTGTTTTCTGAGATATGGCCTCAGCTTGAAGATCCTCCTGCTGTGGCTCCATGCTGGGATTTCAGGAGCATGTCACTCTGCCCTGTTCTCTGTGATTCTTCCTGAACCTTTGTGTATGGGTGTCTCACGTACCCTAGGCTGGCCTTGAACTTGCTATCACTGAGAGTAGCCTTGAACTCCTCTTCCTCCTGCCTCTAGCTCCCAAGTACTGGGATTACAGGAACACTGTAACTCCAGCTCTGTGTGTTTTAATTAAGAAACATAAAAGCTCAGAAAATGACTGAGTATAATACCATCAACCACCCCAAATGAATAATTACATACAATTTATTTTAATCTAAAAACAGTACAGACAGACTTGAAGACTCCTTTACCACCAATTCTTCACAGGGTCAGTACCTTCATTTTTCCCTTTGGAAACTTCCTGTTTTTCTTGCCAGAGATTTTGGTGTGAAACTTTTCTTAAAAACCCATGTATTATATTCATGAAAATGAATATAACATTTTCATGCCTTTAAATTCTGTACGAATGGCATTGAACTACAATAATTACTTTTAAATTTGCTTTTATCACTTAGCATATTCTTAGAGAGTGAGCCATGATACAAATAAATATGAATTTAGACCCTTACTTCCCATCACATTAAAAAGACAAAGCACCAGGTAGGGGTGGCGCACCTCTTTAATCCAAGCCTGTGAAAGGCAGAGGCAGGTGGCTCTGAGTTCAAGGCCGGCCTGGTTACAGAGTGAGTTCCAGGGCAGGCAGGAATAAACAGAGAAACCCTGTCTCGAACAACCAACCAAACCAAACCAAAACACCCCAAACCAACAGAAGAACCTCAAAATGAAGCATAGTAAGTATTAGAGCTAATATTTCATAATTTCTCAAAGAAGGCAAAGGAAAATCTTATGCAAAGGCATCTTGGACATAATACCCAAATCATTATGTTTAAAAGAAAAAAGGGGGGGCTGGAGAGATGGCTCAACAATTAGGAGCGCTGGCTGCTCCTCCAGAGGTCCTGAGTTCAAATCCCAGCAACCACATGGTGGCTCACAGCCATCTCTAATGGGATCTGATGCCCTCCTCTGATGTGCAGGCACACGTGCAGATGGCGCACTCCTGCACATAAATAAATCTTTCTAAAAAACTCACTTAAGAAAAAGAAAAGAAAAAAAAGGAATAAATGGTTTTGTTTTTTAATGTGTCTGTTTATGCTGCGCAGAGGAGCCAGAGACCAGCATTCGGCACCTTCTACAGTTACTCCCCGCCTAGTTTTTCTTAAGATTTACTTATTTTTATTTTATGTATATGGGTGTTGTGCCTGCATGTATGTGGGTCTGTGTGCCACATGTGTATCTGGTGCCCAAAGATGAGTCAGATCCCCTGAAATCAGAGTTACAGATGGTTGTGAGCTGTCATGTGAGTGTTTGGAATTGAACCCAGGTCCTTTGGAAGACCAACCAGGTTTTTTGCTTGTTTGTTTAAGACAGGTTTCTCTGTGTATCCCTGGCTGTCCTGGAACTCACTATGTAGATCACAAAAGATCCGCCTGCCTCTACTTCCCAAATGCTGGGACTGTAGGTATTTCTCACCACATCCAGCATGGTCATAGCTTTCAACCGCTGAGCTATCTTTCCACCGTCCACCTGAGATGGGGGCCTCTCATTGAAAATGTGGTTCACTGATTAGGTTAGTTTAGCTGGCCAGCGACTCCCAGGAGTGGTCTTATTTCTGCATCCCCAGTGCTGGGATTACAAGTGTGTGCCACCATGTTCTTATTCTTTCAGGCTAAGTGTTTTACCAACAAGCCATCTCCTTAGACCATGATAAATGTTTTTTTTAAATTAAATTAGAGACATTTACCAAAATATCCAGAAGAGAAGGCTTCAAATGTTCTTATCACAGGAAATTATTACCTGCTTATAATGATAGCTATCCTAGTTAATTGATACAATATATAAATTAGATCAGGCTATATTGCAGAGAGATGTAAAATTATCATCTTTTGATTAAAAAAAAACCCTTTGCTTTTCAAAGGAAGTCATTAAACTCCATAAGAGGAGATCAACTAAAGAAATGGCTCAACTATCTAAATAAATAACACTAGATTAGCACTGGGAAGGCAGAGGCAGGCAGAACTCTGAGTCTGAGACCAGCCTGGTCTACATAGTGACTTTCAGGTCATCCAGAGCTAAAAAGAAAGATCTTGCCTAAAAAACAAAACAAAACAACAACAAAAAACCAAAACCAAACCAAACAAACAAATAAAGCTTGAGACAAGAGAGAGCTTGGTGTTGGGTGTGCCTGTAACCCCAGACCTTTGGAGGGAGAGGCAGCTGGGGCTGGGGTTGCAGGTCAGTCTCAGCTATATGTGGAGCTCCAGTCAGGACCACCAGGGCTGCATGAGATCCTGTTCCAGCAGTCACAGCTGGAGAGATCACTGCTGTCAAAGAACTGGCATTTGGATCCCTGCACCTACATCAGGTGGCTCCGAGGGAACCAGCACCCACTTCTGGCCTCCATGGGCCTGGGTGCGTGCACACACACATAAAATAATAAAATAATTTAAGTGAGAAACAACAATGAAAGAGAGTGAAAGGAAGACACAAAGGGAGAAAAGTCTCAGGATGACATATCTGATAAGGGGCTTTACCTCTCACGTACAAAGAACTCTCCTGACGCAGTCATAAAAGGACAGACGATCTAATTACAAAACGAGCAAAAGATCAAGAAGACAATTCTCTAAAGATACAAAACAAAGTACAAAAGGGCATGAAAAGGACCTTCGATGGCACTGAACACGAGGAGAGAAAGGAAGACACGATGAGAGACACTTTACACCGTTAGGACGAATTCTACAGAAAAGATAACAAGTGCCAACAAGAACGCTGAGAGACTGGAATCCGCAGGCACTGCCAACAGGAGTGTAAGTGATGCAGCTGCCTTGGAAAATGGCCTGGGTGCTCCTCAGAGGGCTGAGTACCACATAACACGGCAATTCCATTCTCAGGGACATTCCCATCCAAGAGAAATGAGAACGTGTTTGAACAGAAGTCAGTCTCCAGATGTGCACAAGAACACTAACACAGCCAAAGAGTCA